TTTTATTTATGTTTAACGTTGTTTATTTTATACATACAAGTATTTAAGCAAATGCTCTGTTTAAGATAAACAGTATTAAATAACGGAACCGTCCTGAATGTCTGAAATTTTCATAGAAAATGGCAGTTCATAGACAGGATTCGAAGGTTACGAAACTGTCTATGAACGAATATTAACCATGAAAGTTTCGTATAGGATTCAGGTTCCGGTAAATGTTATTTAATACTGTTTATCTTAAACAGAGCATTTGCTTAAATACTTGTATCTATAAAATAACAACGTTAAACATAAATAAAAAAAATGTCTTTAACAAATAAATTGTCGGACCTTGTCCATTTCTTAACATATATATATATATATAATATATAATTTCTATAAAAATAACGTAGAAAATAGTAACACACACACATATATTTAGTTTATTGGGGCAACAGATCATTATTTAAACATATATTATTAAATATAACAGATAATGAATGTCTCTTATGTTTGATATAATATATGATATATATATATATATATATATATATATATATATATATATATATATATACATATATATATATACATACAAATATAGATAACTATACTCGTTTCGAAAAACCCTCGAATTTTTGATTTGCCAATAATCAAATCAATCTCGAGGGGAAAAAAAGGTTTTAAAAAAAGAAAGAGCTATAAACATGAAAGTCTGTCGAAAAAAATCGCACAGATACAGGTTTGAAGCCCAAAGAGAAAAAACCGATACGAGTAAACAACTAACTAACAAAAGAGCTCAATACAACCGTAGAGCAGACCTAGATGAACCTAGTGAGCCAGACAAACCTAACCAGGGTTCACCTAAACGGATCGTCAGGGAAAGCCGACTTTCCCTGACGATCCGTTTAGGTGAAACCTAGGTAGGTTTGCCTGGCTCACTAGGTCTATCTATCTATCTATCTATCTATCTATCTATCTATCTATATATATATATATGTGTGTGTGTGTGTGTGTGTGTGTATATGTGTCTGTGTGTGTTTGTGTGTGTGTGTATAATCATATGTTATTAAACAGACAATGAATGTCTATTATGTCTGATCATGAGCCATTCTGATGTTCAAATATTTGCTTTAATTTCTGGTGAAAATAAAGACAAAATTCTCTAATATTTGGACATTTTTTATTAAGCTGGTTCTAAGCATTTTGTCTTTGTCAGAAATTTAAGCAAATATTTGAACATTAGACCGGCGCATGATCAGACATAATAGAAATTCATTGTCTGTTATATTTAATAATATATATAAATACATATGTGTGTATCTGTGTGTGCGTGTGTTTGTTTGTATGTCTGTCTGTCTGTCGAAAAAGTATACATTTCAGAGGATTCGGTAATATGTTCGGTTTCAAACACCCGCTGGCAGTTTTGGTTCCAATTATGTCTCACAATCATTTTTGGTTTCTGTATTGACAAGCATAAAATTATCATTATATCTTTTGAATTATATTTCTCCTGTTTTCTTTATTTCAACGCTGAGATCGTTTTAATCTTCGGCTGTTAAATAAACAATAATAATTTAAAGTAAACACTTCCCCACTTATCAAAGTGTCATCCTTTATGGGAGACTGACTTACTGTGACTACACGTTACCGAATAAACCAGAACGATATGTTGTCTGAACGAATCATACTTCTAATGAAAAACGATATATAGTCTATCAATAACAAAATAAAATGGAAGAAATTCGGATCTATTATGATAATCTTTAAGATTAGAAACATGAAGACTGTAACATCTAATATAAACGCCGCTTCCTCAGGTTAGAATGAAAGAAAGACAGTAAGAGATGAAATCGAATAGAAACAGTGGTAAGGTTAAAACACTCCTCGTGAAGAATAACATTAAGACCGCAAATAAATATGGCACTCAAAGAAGGTATATGTGATCTCTCCATAAGTTTTTTCTAATAGTTTCTTCTCAAGCACCTCTTGCCTGTGGAACTTTCTTTCGGCCTCTTGCTTCTCCAAAATCTACAATCTGCAAAAAAATTAAATGTAACGTCAAGTGTCTTTTTGTTCTCTCATTGTCCTTTCTCCTCACTAATTCTCTTTAATTCCCAGTAAACCTCTTGTGTCTTTGTGGTATTATCAACTTATTTGGGGTGAAACGATTTAAAAAAAATATTCCCGTGTCCTAAAAGATATAGTAATGTTAATATTAGCTGTTTTCTTATAAGGAATCGTTCAGTATTATTCAACCGAGCAGCCAGTGTTAATGTCACTTAAAATATATAAAATCTTTCTCTTAAAACAATTTCTCAGGAAAAATATGTTTCTCAAGTTCAGTAACTGTTATCGCTTTTTCCAGTATTGATTGATGGTGTTGGGGTGGGGGTCCTCCCTAAACTTTATTTGAAGTAGTGTGGAATGTTAACATTTTGGTAACGTCATTACTTTCTTTTCGACTCACATTCTATATTTCTGAGATGTGGTATTATGTACATTATTTACATTATTCGGACTATTGTCCTCAACTTTGTCGCTATATTTTTTTATTACAACATTTCGGCCGTTGTATGCTCCGGCCTTCTTTAGGTGGTTGGGATGTCGAACATAACTCTTTATTTCGCTTACTGGGGTAGACTGTTCTAGTTCCACGTGTCATGTTTAATGGATGAAGAAGGCCGGAGGGTACAACGGCCGTAACGTTGTAACAAAAAATATAGCCACAAAGTTGAGGGCAATAGTAAATAAGAACAATGTAAATAATGTAAATTTTTTTTTAATGATCACCTGCTTCTTTTTTTTCCTAACTCTGTAAAAAAAAACATGGCTGTCTCGGTTGGGGAATATACGCAGGAATGTAATGCAAGAGATTCAGTCGTTTAGAGTCATTCATAACAATGTTAACCTGTTAAAGGTTGTGAATTACATTGATTGTGTTCCTTGTCAAATGTTTTCCTCTTAAAATCTGCAAACAATATCAACCTCGTTACTTAAGGAATATTTCCCTATAGACTACATCAAAATCTTTCTAGGTTTACCTGAGAAATCTGTCAGTAATCGTCAAAAAAAAAAAAACCGTTAACCCATGAGTAAACATCACCACTTCTACGCATTCTTGTAAAAGCATATGTCCATTTTTTTTTCAGTGGATAGTGGCAGGCGAATAAAAATGCATAGTGATGTAATGAATATGCAAACACCTGGGTTTCCCCTCACAGTAATATGATTGCCTGGTGTCAGTCATAAATACAGACTGATGTATAGGCACAAGGTCGACGCACATTGGCTACGTCTATTGTCTTCGTTTATTGCCTACCACTACGACGAGGACCCGTTCATTACGGTTACCGGCTAGATTGTTCTACCCGGTTACAGTAGACCCAAACCACTTTTGCTACTTCGAACAAATATATCCCTTCCGGGACATATCACATCGATATCAAGTGGAGAAGGCGGTAGGTTATTGCAAGTGGACAGTTTAAAGCATTGCCAGAATTGGGCCTCCTACCAAGGAAAACGTTGTTTGATGTGGTTCAATTTGAGGTATCAGCAGTTAATGATAAGATTGCTACTGGCGTTTACTAACGTCATCGGAAAGGAAATTCGGACGAAAAGACAGTCAGTTTTGATCAGTTGTAAAGTGTAGGTGTACCAACCAGATAATGTCTGCTCGCGGATAGAAACTGCTACATCTGAAAATATGCGAGGCATCTGTTGTGTCGAAATACGACAATTATTCATTTTCTCCATCTCATCATCGACTATGTCGGAATTGACACTGATAAACTAGTTCGAAAAAAAAACATAAAAAGGTGAAAAAAAGGTGCAAAAATTATGGGACCTGAGGATCGGGAAAAATTCTTATACAGAGCAAACAATTTTTCTTTTAAATCCGAACATTTAATGGGACTATGAGGATCGTGAATAATTTCAGTCTGGAAAGTCTCTTCATATATCTATTATCGATTAAGCAGGAACATAAAAGTTAATGAGTACGAGTAAATTATACAAGAATTTTACGTATTTTCACTGAATTTAAATCCGAACATTTCTATATGATAATATATCTACCTAAACGTCAGAATTATTTTATTCTTGCCGATAACTTTTAACTTCAGTGACCATAGCTATATTGATGTGAAGAGATGATGGACTTATAGATGGAACATCAACACATCGAATATACACTAACGGAATTCATATTGACATACAAGGTTTGTGTTGAAGACAAACCATCCATATTCACACCTCGATTATTTTAAAATTCAACGTGTTTTTCATAATTTCTCAGCAATTTTTATCAACTAAATATAGAACCACTTTTAGCACGCTTTTACGTGTTAGTAATTAAAGCTAATTAGATTCCAATTCAATTCCGAGTTTCGCTTGAAGTTTTTTTTTTTCTCGCCACATTTTGTCACACTCCCAAATGATATTGCAAAATTCACTTCAAATTCCTCTCGTCAAATAGCAACCCAATTTTCCAACTTTGTTACGGGCGTATTAATTCACTTGTACGTTAATTAGCTGGTACGATGGTATCATTTGTATTTCTGTGATGACGCCACCGAGATGCTAAATTCAAAATCGAATTCAGGTGATAAGTTTTCATTGAATTATGACGGCGCGATTAACGGCACTGCGTCCCGCGTTAATACGAGAATTCAAAATGGCCACTGGTCATGTGATTCGATTGGAATTCTCGCTGGAATCACACCGGTCTTGATTTCAAAATACATCGGTTTCATGAGGCTAGTGCAACCGTTGATTTTGTTATCTAACCTGTGATCAAGTCATATTGATTCATTTTACGTACTGTCAAAAAACTATTATCGGCAATTCCGTCGGGTAAACGCTTGCTATTGATTTCTACCGAACAATGCCGGCCGTCTTACTCTGTTCGTTATTCACAAACCTCTCTAGAAAGTTCATTATGACTTGATTTGATCTATGCTTTGTTGTGAAAATTATTTTTTTTCCAAGTGGTTCATGTAGAAATATTAGTGCAAGTTTACATGTCAAAAATCACATGCTGTTTGGGTTGATACATATAAACAGACGGAGATAGCTAGATAGCTAGATAGATATGAACAGACTGAGATAGATAGATAGATAGATAGATAGATAGATAGATAGATAGATAGATAGATATGAACAGACTGAGAAAGATAGATAGATAGATATGAAAAAACTGAGATAGATAGATAATGAACAGACTCAGATAGATAGATAATGAAGAGACTTAGATATATAGATAGATAGATAGATAGATAGATAGATAGATAGATAGATAGAAAAATAATGAACAGACTCAGATAGATAGATAGATAATGAACAGACTCAGATAGATAGATAGATAGATAGATATGAACAGACTGAGATAGATAGATAGATAGATAGATAGATAGATAGATAGATAGATATGAAAAGACTGAGATAGATAGATAATGAACAGACTCAGATAGATAGATAATAAAGAGACTCAGATAGATAGATAATGAAGAGACTTAGATAGATAGATAGATAGATAGATAGATAGAAAAACAATGAACAGACTCAGATAGATAGATAGATAGATAAATAGATAGATAGATAGATAGATAGATAATGAACAGACTTAGCTAGCTAGCTAGCTAGCTAGATAGATAGATAGATATGAACAGACTGAGATAGATAGATAGATAGATAGATAGATAGATAGATAGATAGATAGATAGATAGATAGATATGAAAAGACTGAGATAGATAGATAGATAATGAAGAGACTCAGATAGATAATAAAGAGACTCAGATAGATAGATAGATAGATAGATAGATAGATATGAACAGACTGAGATAGATAGATAGATAGATAGATAGATAGATAGATAGATATGAAAAGACTGAGATAGATAGATAGATAATGAACAGACTCAGATAGATAGATAATAAAGAGACTCAGATAGATAGATAATGAAGAGACTTAGATAGATAGATAGATAGATAGATAGATAGATAGAAAAACAATGAACAGACTCAGATAGATAGATAGATAGATAGATAGATAGATAGATAGATAATGAACAGACTTAGCTAGCTAGATAGATATGAACAGACTGAGATAGATAGATAGATAGATAGATAGATAGATAGATAGATAGATAGATATGAAAAGACTGAGATAGATAGATAGATAATGAAGAGACTCAGATAGATAATAAAGAGACTCAGATAGATAGATAGATAGATAGATAGATAGATAGATAGATAGATAGATAATGAACAGACTCAGATAGATAGATAAATAGATAGATAGATAGATAGATAGATAGATAGATAGATAGATAGATAATGAACAGACCCAGATAGATAGATAGATAGATAGATAGATAGATAGATAGATAGATAGATAGATTAATGAAAAGACTCTGATAGATAGATAGATAGATAATGAACAGACTTAGCTAGCTAGCTAGCTAGCTAGCTAGCTAGATAGATAGATATCAACAGACGGGTGATCGCTTGGGAAAACCAGGTGGAGTAAGTTTGGACGTGTTGGTGGTGTAAATCATAACTCCTCGGAATGCGAAATCGGAGGGACGTGTTAGAATTACAATCGGATTCGTTACATTCCCTTACGAACAAATACTCTTGGGCGATCATGAATCGAAAAGAAGCAGGATAGACTAAATGTGTCACATCCAATATAAATTCGAGCAACGTGGTAGGGTAATAGCCAGTTACATTCCATATTCTCTACGTCCAACAAAAAAGGACTCATCCGAGCTGACAATAATAATATTTTTCTTAATTTGGTACTCAGACATACATCCATGCAAAATAAAAATGTAATTACCCAAGACAATCTAGATATGAATGAATATTACTTTTCTATTTCAACCAATATATATATGGAGTGAACATGTCATCTGCTCAGCTGTAACACGGAGACCACAGCTAATTATGGAATTGTTGATCATGATGAAATTTGAAGTTATTTCCATCTAATTAGTGAATTTTTTTCGATCACCATTATGATCACATCTAATTATCGGGTTGTTGAACATAATGAAATTTGTAGTAATTTCCATCTTATAAGCGGATATTTTTCTATCACATAACTAAACTCCCAGTTTCTGACCATCATGAAATATATAGTAATTTCAATCTTCTAAGTGGATATTTTTATCACGTTTATGTCTACATCTCCTCAAAGGATTGTTGATCGTGATGAAATTTGTATTAATTCTCAACTTATGTATGGATTTTTTTCTATCCCTCTTATAATCACACATAATCACGTGGTTGTTGATAATATTGAACAGTGTTGTAATTTCCATCTTATAAGTAGATATTTGTCTGTCACGTTTATGACCAAAGCTAAATATCGGATTATTGATAATCTTGAACGTTTGTGTAATTTCAAGCTTCGAATTGTTTTTTTATTTTTCTATCACGTTTATGATCACAAGTAATAACCAGATTGTTCCTCATTATGATGTGTTGTAATTTCCAGTTCATAAATGGATCTTTTTTCTATCACGTTTATAACCACAAGTAATAACCAGGTTGTTAATCATTACAATATTTCTTGCAATTTCCAGGTTATAAGCTTATCTTTTTTCTATCACGTTTATGAACACACCTAATAACCAGCTCTTTAATTATTATGATGTTTGTTATGCGGATCTTTTCCACGTTTATAAGCGGATCTTTAATTATTATGATTTCTATTACGTTTATGATCTTTTTCTATCACGTGAATAACGTAATAACCAGCTCTTTAATTATTATGATGTTTGTTGCAATTTCAGGTTATGCTTATCTTTTTCTATTAATTTCCAGATTATTATGATGTTTATCTTTTTCTTATCTTTTCACGTTTATGACCACACGTAATAACCAGCTCTTTAATTATTATGATGTTTGTTGCAATTTCAGGTTATAAGTTTATCTTTTCTATTACGTTTATGACCACACGTAATAACCAGCTCTTTAATTATTATGATGTTTGTTGCAATTTCCAGGATTATAAGCTTATCTTTTTCTATTACGTTTATGACCACACCTAATAACCAGCTCTTTAATTATTATGATGTTTGTTGCAATTTCCAGGTTATAAGCTTATCTTTTTCTGTTACGTTTATGACCACACGTAATAACCAGCTCTTTAATTATTATGATGTTTGTTGCAATTTCCAGGTTATAAGCGGATCTTTTTCTATCACGTTTATGACCACACGTAATAACCAGCTCTTTAATTATTATGATGTTTGTTGCAATTTCCAGGTTATAAGCGGATATTTTTCTATTACGTTTATGACCACACGTAATAACCAGCTCTTTAATAATTATGATGTTTGTTGCAATTTCCAGGTTATAAGCTTATCTTTTTCTATTACGTTTATGACCACACGTAATAACCAGCTCTTTAATTATTATGATGTTTGTTGCAGGATTATAAGCTTATTTTTCAGGTTATAAGCTCTTTTAATTATTATGATGTTTGTTGCAATTTTTTTCTATCACGTTTATGACCACACGTAATAACCAGCTCTTTAATTATTATGATGTTTGTTGCAATTTCCAGGTTATAAGCGGATATTTTTCTATTACGTTTATGACCACACCTAATAACCAGCTCTTTAATTATTATGATGTTTGTTGCAATTTCAGGTTATAAGTTTATCTTTTTCTATTACGTTTATGACCACACGTAATAACCAGCTCTTTAATAATTATGATGTTTGTTGCAATTTCCAGGTTATAAGCTTATCTTTTCTATCACGTCTGATGACCAGGTTATGTTTAATAACAGACCACACTAATAACCAGCTTTTTAATTATTATGATGTTTGTTGCAATTTCCAGGTTATGTTTATCTTTTTCTATTACATTTATGATTAATAACCAGCTCTTTAATTATTATGATGTTTGTGACCACAGGTTATAAGCGGATCTTTCTATCACGCTTATGACACCACGAAATAACCAGCTCTTTAATTATTATGATGTTTGTTGCAATTTCAGGTTAATCTTTTTCTATTACGTTTCCAGCTCTTTAATTATTTGATGTTTGTTGCAATTTCCAGATTATGTTTTTCTTTTTTATTATTTATGACCACACCGTAATAACCAGCTCTTTAATTATTATGATGTTTGTTGCAATTTCCAGGTTATAAGTTTATCTTTTCTATTACGTTTATGACCACACGAAATAACCAGCTCTTTAATTATTATGATGTTTGTTGCAATTTCCAGGTTATGTTTATCTTTTTCTATTCGTTTTGACCTATTACGTTTAATGACCACGGATCTTTTCTATCACGTTTATGACCACACGTAATGCACGTAAACCAGCTCTTTAATTATTATGATGTTTGTTGCAATTTCCAGGTTATAAGCGGATATTTTTCTATTACGTTTATGACCACACCTAATAACCAGCTCTTTAATTATTATGATGTTTGTTGCAATTTCCTGGTTATAATCTTTTTCTATTACGTTTTTTAACCAGCTCTTTAATAATTATGATGTTTGTTGCAATTTCCAGGTTATAACTTAATTACGTTTATGACACGTAATAACCAGCTTTAATTATTATGATGTTTGTTGCAATTTCCAGGTTATAAGTTTATCTTTTTTCTATTACGTTTATGACCACACCTAATAACCAGCTCTTTAATTATTATGATGTACAATTTCCAGGTTATAAGTTTATCTTTTGTTATTACATTTATGATTTCCTTTAATTTATGATGTTTGTGGCAATTTCCAGGTTATCTTTTTCTATTACGTTTATGACCACACGTAATAACCAGCTCTTTAATTATTATGATGTTTGTTACAATTTCCAGGTTATAAGTTTATCTTTTTCTATTACATTTATGACCACACGTAATAACCAGCTCTTTAATTATTATGATGTTTGTTGCAATTTCCAGGTTATAAGCGATCTTTTCACACGTAATAACCAGCTCTTTAATTATTATGATCAATTTCAGGTTATAAGCTTATCTTTTTTCTATTACGCTTATGATTACACGAAATAACCAGCTCTTTAATTATTATGATGTTTGTTGCAATTTCCAGGTTATAAGCTTATCTTTTTCTATTACGTTTATGACCACACGTAATAACCAGCTCTTTAATTATTATGATGTTTGTTGCAATTTCCAGGTTATAAGCTTATCTTTTTCTATTACGTTTATGACCACACGTAATAACCAGCTCTTTAATTATTATGATGTTTGTTGCAATTTCCAGGTTATAAGCTTATCTTTTTCTATTACGTTTATGATCACGTAATAACCAGCTCTTTAATTATTATGATGTTTGTTGCAATTTCAGGTTATAAGCGGATCTTTTTTATTACGTTTTATGATCACGTAATAACCAGCTCTTTAATTATTATGATGTTTGTTGCAATTTTAAGCGGTCCGTTTGATGATCACGTAATAACCAGCTCTTTTAATTATTATGATGTTTCCAGGTTATAAGCTTATCTTTTCTATTACGTTTATGATCACACGTAATAACCAGCTCTTTAATTATTATGATGTTTGTTGCAATTTCCAGGTTATAAGCGGATCTTTTTCTATCACGTTTATGATCACACGTAATAACCAGCTCTTTAATTATTATGATGTTTGTTGCAATTTCCAGGTTATAAGCTTATCTTTTTCTATTACGTTTATGACCACACGTAATAACCAGCTAATTATTATGATGATTTTTTAATTAGGTTATAAGCGGATCTTTTTTGATGTTTGTTGCTTTAATTATTAATTTCCAGGTTATAAGTTTATCTTTTTCTATTACGTTTATGACCACAACGTAATAACCAGCTCTTTAATTATTATGATGTTTGTTAATTTCCAGATTATGATGTTTGACCACAACCTAATGCTCTTTAATTATTATGATGTTTGTTGCAATTTCCAGGTTATAAGCTTATCTTTTTCTATTACGTTTATGACCACACGTAATAACCAGCTCTTTAATTATTATGATGTTTGTTGCAATTTCCAGGTTATAAGCTTATCTTTTCGGATTTTTTTCATAACAGCTTTTTAATTTTATGATGTTTTTGATTTCCAGGTTATAAGCGGATCTTTTTCACACGTTTATGATCACACGTAATAACCAGCTCTTTAATTATTATGATGTTTGTTGCAATTTCCAGGTTATAAGCTTATCTTTTTTCTATTACGTTTATGACCATACGTAATAACCAGCTCTTTAATTTTTATGATGTTTGTTGCAATTTTCCAGGTTTATGTTTATCTTTTTTCTATTACGTTTATGATCACACGTAATAACCAGCTCTGTAATTATTATGATGTTTTTGCAATTTCCAGGTTATCAGCGGATCTTTTTCTATTACGTTTATTACCACACGTAATAACCAGCTCTTTAATTATTATGATGTTTGTTGCAATTTCCAGGTTATAAGCTTATCTTTTTCTATTACGTTTATTACCACACGTAATAACCAGCTCTTTAATTTTTATGATGTTTGTTGCAATTTCCAGGTTATAAGCTTATCTTTTTCTATTACGTTTATGATCACACGTAATAACCAGCTCTTTAATTATTATGATGTTTGTTGCAATTTCCAGGTTATAAGCGGATCTTTTTCTATCACGTTTATGATCACACGTAATAACCAGCTCTTTAATTATTATGATGTTTGTTGCAATTTCCAGGTTATAAGCGGATCTTTTTCTATCACGTTTATGATCACACTTAATCGTGTGATTGTTGGTTATGATAAACTTTGTTATCATCTCCAGCATAGAAGTGGATATTTTTTAACATTAATGACCGCACCTTGTCCTGGGGTTGTTCATCTTGGTGAAGCTTTTTGTAATTTCTATCTTGTAACTGGATTTTTTTCTCTCACGTTTATGACGGCGCCTAATTACCGAGTTACTGATCATGATAATCTTTGTTTTAATTTCCAGCTTATAATTGTATTTCTTTTATGACCTTTATCGCCGCACCTCTTCATAGGCTTTTTTGATCAGGATAAACTTTATTGCATTTTCAAGTTTATAAGTTCTACTTTTTCTATCACGTTTACGACAAATGCAACCATAGCTTTCTTGGAGTTATTTCCATTCCTAATTATTAAAGGATAAAGATCAACAAGTAAATGTTTCTAAATTTAACTTATTTTATTATTCATTTATCATTATAGCTGACTTGTTTTGTTTTATGTCATATCAACATCTCAGTGGGTTATTTAATGACAAGGTTTTTTATTGCTGCTAATATTTTTTCCAAAAATATATTGCTAGTAATATTTTTTTTTCCAAAAATGTATTGCTGGTAATAATTTTTTTCCAAAAATGTATTGCTATAATAATTTTTCCGAAAAATTATTGATGTTGATAAAACCTATTTTTACACTTTTATAGTGTTTTGACCCCATCTGTGTGTTAACTATTTGCCTATTGCTGGGACCCTGGCAGGTGCTACCAACCCGAGTCAGGGTGAACCTGGGAACACCAGCAATTCAGAGGTGGTTCCATGCTCCTCAAAACCTACTGATCAATGGCCTTGCTGTTGGACGTAGTTTAACGTCTTACCCAGGAGGCGGATGTTGTTTATTGTCTTACCCAGGACGCGGATTTAGTTCATCCTCTTACCCAGGACGCGGATGCATTTTATCGTATTTTATATATCTGAATATACATTTCGAGAAAAAAAAAAGTATTTGAAAATATATTAAAAACAATAAACAAACGACATAATAAATTTTAACTCGCCATTTTGCGCATGCAAATTATGGCTGCGATTCTAGGCCTTTTCTTTTAGGTTTTTTTATTGGTTTATTGAATTCTATTTTTTTTTTTTAGATAAATAAAGATGTTTTTTTTTGTTTACTTTCAATCTCATGTTGCATATTCAAAAAATATTGAAAAAAGAAACAAAACAACAAACGCAGCTAAGTTAGAATGCTAGTCTGCGTTGGTAGTTGCATAATTAAATCATGGAAAAATTTCGACTAGATGTTGATAGTATAGCGGTTGCTATGTTTTTCACATCCACATACACTCTAAGTCATTTTATTCGCATACGATTGGCTAATAAATTACTACTACCTTTGTATAGGTCAATTTAGCCATCGCAGTCGTTCTTTTGAATCTTTTGGTTCTGAGCATACTTACCTATTCTGTTTAGTACGTGTATAGTGATTGGTTAATTTTTAACAAATCACATATTTTTAATGTAAGATCAAGTTTTCCCGCGGTTCCGTGGGAACCTACGTCTTTTCCTTAAATAGGGCGTCTTTTCGCAAGTCCCCAGTAAGATCCAGTATGATCCCAGCCGTCAACACAAAACCACGATCTTGCTCATCACACTCTAACGCACACACAGAATTTCGTAACTACAAATTTACATTTTCTCTCTGTAACTTTCGCTAAGCACAATCAATCAGAACTTTGTTGATACAAACTTGTTTTTCCACAACACATTTTAAGCAATTGTATTCTTGGTGTTTTTCATTCCTCACATGCAAACTTTGCTCTAAGAATGCGGTACATTTATCGCACAAGAGAACTTTCTTCAAACAGTTGAGTACAATCTACAGTCAAAGGAAAACAACTTCCTTCTCTTTAATCTACATTGTGAATACGATTTTATTTCATGCTTGCTGTTATATTTTATTCAATATATATTTGTTGCTTATTATTATTATTTGAATCCTGTACCTGAAAGTATCATTAATATAAATAGTATTAGTACCTATATATTTTGGTGCTCCTGCTACATTTAGTGACTCGATCCGACGCAATATTTGGTACGTACGCTAGCCTTGGTCACTCCTTTAATTTGAGTTAAAAAAAACAAAAAAAAAAAAAAAAAAACACACACACACAAAATCCCCCCCCCACAAAAAAAAACAATGCAAAGAGACTAGAAACGTTTACGAATTTAAATCTCGGCAGAAATCGAATTGATGACGTTTACAAAGAATATACGTTTTTTTTTTTATCGAGCTCTATGCCTTATTCGTATCAAAGTTAGGATGCATGTCTCCGTTGGTAGTTGCGTAATTAAAAGAAAAAAAATCTTTTACGTTTCTGAAGGTTTCGCCTATATAGATGTCCTAGCAGTGTAGGCGTTTAAATTATAAATCCCGGCATCTTTTGTAGATTCTGAATGAAAGTTTAATGTGTCGGACACGAAAAAATGACACTAGAAACTTTTTCACCTTTCCGACCGCTTGGATTTTCATTTTTTAGTGAAGTTGCAAAAAATAGCATATGTATAGAAAATCTCTTGAACAAGATTATGCTAGAGATTCTCTGTCACATTCCCTCTCCAATGTCTGACCAAATGAACAAACAACAGAATCATTTTTAAGAGGGTTTCCTTTCGGGGTGAAATCTTTGCTGCAGTCCCTCTTCATAACCATATGTATATTGGCATAAATATATGAGGTACAGTGTGTCCCCCAAAATTGACATAATTTAAAATGTGAATATCTGAGTAACTACCTGCCTTGGGCAAAAGAAATTAAATAGGTTTCATACTAATCAATAAGATATTTAATATCAATATTAGAAAAAAATCATTCAAAGAGATATCGATTTTATTACCGATTTCATAAAGCTTCACAAATGTTTAATATGCGCACCACTTGTGACACGACGCACATCAAGAGGGAGTCCAGCTCCTGCCAAACATGATGTAGCATGCCTTGTGTAGAATTTTCCAGTGCCTCAGTGATTCTCTGCTTAAGATCATCTTGGCTTGTAGGAGGAGTAATGATATAGAGCTATCCTTTCGCATAGCCCCATAGAAAAAATTCACAAAGTATCAAGCTGAACCTGGTCGTTATTTCGACATTACATTGTCATTATCGCTGGCACACCCGATCCATTATGTTCCTGGTAGATTCTCATTGAGATAAGTTCGCACAGTTAACTTATTATGAAATGGACAAAGTCAGACAATTATTTTTATGTTTATACATTCTTTTTATAGATAAAATATTTAAGTAAAGGGTCTGTTTATAATAAACAGTATTAAACAACATTTTCCGGCCTGAATATCCGAGAAATTTTCATAGAAAATATTCGTCCTCCGACAGGATTCGAGCCTGTATCCTATATGGAACCGTCATTTAGCTTGACGTGCCTTTAATCGATTTGGCCACAGAGGAGCGTTCGGTTAGTAAGGTCGAATTTACTGTATTTAAACGTCAATCTTCTACGAATCTCTCACGTACATTCATATCTGCTCAAAGCGTATCCAAATGTAAACAAATGACGTCACACATTATGAAATGGATAATTATTTTAAGACATTTTTATCTATAATAAGAATGTATAAACATAAAAATGTCTTAAAACAGTTAAATTAGTTAATTTTCACAGATTTAAAAAAAATCTGAGATCATTTAAGCGAGAATTGTTACAAGACTACAAAGTGATGTCCGTTATTTTGGGGACCCCCTGTACTTACATATAAAACTGTAAGAAGCAGACAACACAATTTGACGCTCTTTGTTGTCATTGGGTTAAAAAATTTCTGGATTGGACGGTGATTTCTGTGATTGTCGTGAACAAGATACGCGACATCATATCCGAAAACCTCCACGCATTGCATGCGTATGGTGTCACGGAGCAGTTGGAGGAAGAGAGAATTGGCGGAGTGCTCCTACGCATATGTAAAACTCTCCCACTTAACCAATCGGCTGCTTCGTCATGGTCTATAAAATGAATGTGACTGAAGGCTTTGGCAGTGGGAACCGAGGGAGCCGACGAGGATGATGATTGACTACTGCCCTGTACGATAGACGACTGCCCGGTTCGATAGACGACTGCCCGGTTTGAATGACGACTGTCCGGTACCAGAGATGACTGCCCGGTTCGAATGACGACTGCCCGATTCCAGAGACGACTGCCCGGTTTGAGAGACGACTGCCCGGTTCGAGAGACGACTGCCCTGTTCCAGCGGGTCCTTTTTGGCGTGACGGCTACAGTTTCTACTATAAAGTGGAGATACAACCGGAGGAGTCTTCGTTGCTTATCTTTGGAACAAGACTTCATATTGTCTATATTTATATACACGCTCTCTTCAACAAGTGTGTGTGTGCTACAGGCCTGGCGAATTGCTACCGTTGGAAAGTGCCTGAAACCCATAGCCTGTGTTGATTCAAGCCTTGTGAATGAAATTTGGTTGACGAACCAGTTCGATGGACATGCTAGCATAAATTCCAGGGTTTGGGAGTATTGCCCTTTTACAAACTGTTGTTCACGCCGAGTTATGCTTTCTCCACCAGACATCAACTAAGGTCCGCTCAACATACGATAGTCGGCTGAAAAATTCTTAGACTGACCAAGATACTCTCATAGAAATTTGTAACCAAAAAAGGTTTATTTTTTTCTACACAGTTCCTATTGCCTATCACATACCTGGATGTCTTTGGTGAAGAATCTTTCACACTTTTGGTCAAAAAATGTCATCAACAGTAGTTATGACGTCATCATCACTTCGATACTGCTTCCCAGCCAAGGGTTTTTTTTTCCTTGTTGGGGAACAGATGATAGTAAGATGAAAACAAAACAGGAGAATTGGTAGGTTGATCAACCCGTTCAAAGACACGGTCACGAAAAATAGTCTTTGTAACACTCATGTACAGCAGCCATTCTAACCAAGGAATTATGTGCTGGAGCGTTGTCCTTATTAAACATAACACGCTTTCGCCTGTTTTTCTGGGCATGTTTAAGGTTTATTTTTCAACAGAGTTCCTCTTGCGTTTCACATACTTGGATCCCATTGGTGAAGAAGGTTTCACACTATTAATCAAAAAATGTCATCAACAGCAGTTATGACGTCATCATCACTGCGCTTCTGGTTCGCAGCCAAGGGTTTTTTTCTTGTTGGGGAAAAGATGATAGTAAGATGAAAACAAAACAAGGAAATTGGTAGGTTGATCAAGCTGTTCAAAGACACGGTCACGAAAAATAGTCTTTGTAATCACAGACTTGTTTGAAAGAGAATTGTCCTGTTGAAACAAGACCGCCTTCATCAGTTTCCCTGAGCATGTGGTGTTGATAGACTTACTGCTTAATTATGTTGGCATCGTACTCTGCATTAATTGTGGGACCATTTTGAACATAATAAACAAAATACCTTTTTAATAAAAAAAAAACAAGAAAACTGCGGCCATCAGATTCCCTGCAGATGAAATGACCTTGGCCCTCTTTGAAGAAAGTGTGGAGTGTTGTTTCTAGTACATAAATTATCTCTTTGTCTCTGGCTCAAATTAATGGTTCCAAAAGTGAAGCTGGGTTAGGAAACGTTCAAGGAAACCAGCTGGATCTCCCTCAAACATTGTCATTTCTCCTTGTGCGCTGTTGATCAGGTCTCAGAAGATGTAGCACTTGCCGCGCAGAAATCTTCGTCATACCAAGTTCATTGTGCCGAATATTCTCGACTATCTCAAAGCATATGCTAATAGCATCGGTTATTTGAATTATAGTCAGTCGCCTGTCATCCATCATCCTGTGGTGAGCAT